CCACGGGGCGCGCGACGGGCAGAGAAGGAGTCACACGCCAACCGGGGGCGGGACAAGGGAAAATCGCCACGCGCCCTAGGCGCGCGACCCGAAAATCGTAGCAGCGGAAACGTGAGGCGGGCGCACAGGCCAGAACGAACGTCGCTCTGATAGCATGTCGAGAATAGTTGAACGAGGATGAGTTAAGTTTGACTAGGGCCTAGGCTTAGTAGCCTAGGCCCGAGATTGGATGTCGAGTAGTTCTTGCCTAGGGTGAGGTTCGAGTGAGTTGAGAAGAGAAGTTGGGAAGAATGATGGTTTCACTATAGGTTTCGAAGAACATATAGCAAAGGAAACAAATAAGGTGCACCACCAAACAAAGTTTAAATAACTACACTAACTACAGCTACAGGCAGTTACAAATATAAGTTCTGACAACAGTCGCCAGCACCCTGTTCTTCACAAGGGCGACCTGCCGCAGTGCAGTCACCCAAAACGGATCCGGCAGCCCTGCACGCCCAAGGAGAGTGCGAGCACCTTCCTGCAGGGTCCGGTTGAACCGCTCAGCCACGCCGTTCTGCTGAGGGTTTTAGGGCACCGTAAGCTGATGCTGGATCCCCTTCTTCTTCAGCACCGCCTCAAAATCAGCGCCAATGAACTCTCCCCCATTGTCGGTGCGGATCACCTTCACCTTGTGTCCGCTCTCCCTTTGAGCTCTCGGCATCCACTCCTTGAGAACAGCCGCTGCCACCTCCCCCTTAGTCTTCAAAGGGTACACCCACACCGCACGCGTGTGGTCGTCCACAATAGTCAAGAAGTAGCGGCTGCCCGAGAGAGAAAGGGCCCTCGTGGGGCCCACCACATCCATGTGCACTAGTGCAAGTGGTGCCTTGGCTGGTCCTGTGCTGCTGCTGAAGGGAAACTTCGTGAATTTGGTCTCAAGGCAGGTAGGGCAGCTCCCAATCTCTTTTGCTCCCTCCTTCACCTCCAGCCCCTTCAAGCACCCATCCTTTACCAACTTCTGCAGCATAGGAATGTTCACATGGCACAGCCTCTCATGCCACGTCTCCCAATCGGCCTCACCACTCCAAGATGAAGCCTTTGCCCATGCAGCTGTTGCATCCACACCAGCAAGCACCTCACCACATGGTTGCTGTGACTGCTGCACCTTCTTGACTGCATCCAAGGCCCCTGCAGTTGGTGCAATCTCCTCTCCTCCCGCAGTTGCTTTAGCTACTGCCGCTGCCTTTGCCGTTGCTGGTGGTTTCCCCTTCCAAGGGATGATGGGCAGCTGCCACAAGGCCTTGATGCAGCTGCTCTTCTCCTCCAAGTCCCACAGCAGCAACTTCCCAAGCTTTGCACGGCAGCTGGTTGGGCCGAAGGTAACTTCAGCCGGCGCACAGAAAGAAGGTTAGCGGACAAACCTTCAACCAACAGCACATTCCCAAGCCCCACAAGCTCTCCATTGGCTCCCATCACCTTGGCATTCCCAACACCAATCACAAGGAGCAAAGCACCTGAAGCGGCAGCCACAAACTTGATCTTCCCAGGAGGTTTTACCTCATCAAGCAAATCTGCCCGTGGGGTCATATGACTTGTGCAACCTGAATCGATCACCCAGTGAGTGAGGGGGTGCATCACAACCTTCCCAACTGAACCCACATCACCCCTACTTCCTTGCACATCCTCAACCATGAGGAACATCCCAGGGTCGGCTTTACCTTGTGCACCATCACCTTGTGCACCTGAACCTTGCACAGCGCCACCTCGTGCACGTTCACCACTTGGCGGCTTCATGCCTGGGGGCGCCCATCCCTCAGGCCGGCTGAAACACTTGAACCACGGGTGTCCAGCCTTCTTGCAGTACCAGCACGCACCCTCCATTCGGGTGCTCCCCCTGCCTCCAGAGCTCCCATGCCCCTCATTGTAGTCACCTCGGCCTCTCCCTCTGCCAAAGCCTCTCCCACGGCCTCTGCCTCTCCCTCCCCCTCTTCCTCTGCTACCTCCTGCAGCTCCATACCCCTCATCAGTTTTGTTGGCAGCACCACCTCCCGTGTGGCGCCTGCGGAAGTCCTTCTGCAGAATCTACTGATGTAGCCACTCAGGCGTCCATTTGTCCTGCTGAACGTTGAGGGTGGGGATGAGGTTGTCCCACGAGTTGTCGAGCACCGAGATGATCTTGGTGCACTGTTGCATCTGCGACACTTCGCTGCCCGTCGCTGCCATCCTCGCATAGGTGTCCTTGATCTTGTCAAGGACCGGTTTCACATCATCTCCCGGTTTCATGGAGAGGGCAGCCAACTCCTTCTCCAACACAATAACCATCGGCAACGTGTTGGGCTGAATCACGTCGCGTAGCAGCTTCCATGCCTTCGGTCCGGAATCATCCAACTCCACCAAATCCTTGATGTGCTAGAACATGTCGTTGTTGACCGATTGGAGGATGAGGTCGTACAGCACCGCGCTCTTCTCAATCCACCGATCGCGGGCATCTCCTTCCCCCGGTATCTTCTCCTCTCCCATTGCAATTTTCAGCAGCTTGTAGCGCTTGAAGGCGCTCCGCATCTGCCCGCTCCATTCCTCATAGTTGGAGCCATCCAAAGCTTCAATCTTGGATGGTGGCGGCTCACTCCTCTTCTCAGCTGCATCTCCACTCCCTTGATTCATCTCCTCTGCTTCCAAACAGAGGTTTCAGCTTCCCCCTTTGCTGGTCACAATGTAGATCCACACAATCTTCACAAGTGTCGGCGCCAACAAAATTTCGGCAGAGTTTCCCCTTAGCGGAAGTCACATGCAACCTCCAGAACTCCACTTAGGCACGCCCACAGGCCATGGTGGGTCTGGGAGGGTCTTCACACTTCATTAGACTCCCCACAAGGTCCTTAATCAGCTCTGATACCACTTGTTAGAGACTAAGGACGGAGTCTACGAAGATTAGGTGCCTAAAATTCTCAAAATCGTTGGCTTAGAATTCTGGACAGAAAGGTCGCGCTCACAAGAAACGCCGTCGACGAAATTTTCACTGTCAAAACTTCATAAAACTCAGCTATGTTGTAGCCTTAAACCGTGGCTACATTTCCCAATTTGAATAGTATCAAAAGGTGAAGTATTTCTCGACTTATGAATTTCGGCGCACAGGGGGGTATGCTGCCATAGAATCTTAACTCAATCACAAGAGTCTCACACAAGTTAACAATTACTACACAAGAGAGTTAGAGTAGCACTAAACCAGGTGGGATGGGATGAGGAGGACGAGAGGAAAGGTCCCAAGAGAGTCCCCAACCAAGGAAACCCCATGCCACACAATTCCCTTCTCCATAGGCAACCCAACTTTGACCTTTGTCACTATCCCAACCTCCACAATCCACCTCAACCCAACTTGGCCACACTTGCCAACCTGGTTTGGTTTCTCCCAACCACTTGGCAGCAACTACAGTAGAAAAGACGAATTTCCCAACCCCCAAAAGTCTGTACCTCATATGGAGTCAACCCCACAACTTCCCATAGTCACCACAACCAAATATCAAAAGCATACGAACTTCCAACGTTTGTAACTTTCTTGTTCGTGCTCCGATTGAAGCGATACTTGGTTCGTCGGAAAGCTCTTGAGCAGAGGAGTCACTTCAGATATCTGCTCAAGCCAAATAACATTCACACACACTCAGAAAATTCAAACCGCACAAAACACAAATTCTTGCACACGCTCACAGCATGCATGCAACGCACGAACATATGATGGGAGGCAGACAGACGTGAATGCAGATGATAGCATCACATAACAGCAAGATCCTAGACCAGGCAAGATCCTGGACCAGGCATGCTCCTGGACCAGGCAAGCTCCTGGACTAGGCAAGCTCTTGGACCAGGCTAGCTGTTGGACCAGGCAATCTCTTGGACCAGGCAATCGCGGAGATAACTACTACAACGGGAGCTAGACTACGGGCTAGGCACGGGTGATCGTGTGATATCTGCGTTCGTTGGCTCTTAGTCGGCTTCCTAGTGCTCAGATTGCTTGCTAGTTCACGGAGCAATTTTTGGCAAGAGTTCACTAGAGAAAGTTGACAACAATGGTACAATCAAGTTGGCATGGCAAGACTACATCAGAGCTAGCATTCAGGCCGGTCGATTGCCAGCATAGCATGGTCGACCGCGTTCCAGCACGACTTGGTCGACCGCACTCCAGCAGTGCAAAGTCGACAGCGTGCCAACGCTGCAGGCTGACGGCGTGCCAGTGTTGCTCCCGTAGAACAGCAGCGCACCTACATTGCAGGTGCTCGTTGATGATTGGAGGGCTAAGCCTTGTCACCTGAACAGCGCACGCACCAAGTCATCTTCGTGCTGACGGCTCCATCTGATCCACCACGTCGACCTCGGGATACCATCACCGAGGTTGGTCTCGCCAACTTCACCTGGGCAACCGTCGCACTCCTCCGCAGCACTTCGTCACCCAGGTAACCTGGTCGACCGGGTAACCTCATCGACCAGCAATTCCCGTACGTGCCCGTCGACCTCCCAAGTCGACGACCACCTCCATGTTGACCTCACTAGGATGACTACGCCCCTCGCTCGGCGTCCTGGGCCGAGGTCGACGTCGGCCCCTCCTTCGTCGACCACCAGGTCCAGTTGAACACCCGCAGGTCGACTAGCAGTCCATCAGCCGACCACCGAAGTCGGCTTCCCCAAGTTGACGTCCTCCGCAGGTCGACTCCTAAGTCGACCTCCCCGAAGTTGGCGCCACCCTGAAGTCGGCGCCCGTGCAGTGGTCCCCGTGCAGGTCGATCTCCTCGTCAACCAGCTCGCCCACTGCTGCAGGTCGGCTGCTCCCCTAACACCCGACCACGATGTCGGCTCCGCCCAAGCGTGGACGGGGCCAGCACACAACTCCCGTTGACACTCCCCTGCCGCGTTCATGCTTGGGCACCCAGCCCACACCGCAGTACAGCTCCGAGAATAGCCCGTCGGCGTGCACCCAACACACAGCACGTCGGTCACTGCACCAGCCATGCAAGAGGGCATGGCACCTATTGCTGCACGTCGTTATCGCCGTCGCCCACGTCGGCCAAGCGCACCTGGCCGATTGCGACGGAGCACCGGTTGAAGGCCGGATAGTGCAGCGCCTTCGTCAGGAAGTCGGCCGGCTGCTCAGTGGTCGGGATGTACCTCAGCGAGAACTTCCCGCGCTTCACCATGTGCTGCAGCCAGGCCTGTCGCCGCTCCATGTGCTTGAGGTTGCCCGTCAACCCCATGCTCTCGGCGACTGTGATAGCCGACTTGTTGTCCACCCGAAGGACGGTCGGCTTCCCGGCATCCAGCTGCCGGAACTCTGCAAGGAGGAAGCGAAGTCGGCGTCCTTCCTTGCCGGCTTCGGTGGCTGCCACGTACTCCGACTCAGTCGACGACAACGTCGCACACTTGATGCGCTGGCTCGACCAGGAGACTGCGGCCCCTCCATAGACGAACACGTAGCCACTCGTGCTCGTCCTGTTCTGCTTGTCACCGGCGTCGTCGGCGTCCACGTAGCCGACCAGCTCCAGCGACTCAGGTCCACCGCCGAACTCCAGGGCGGTGTCATGCGTATTGGCGAGGTAGGCGAGGCAGCGGTTAACCTCGCGCCAGTGCTGGTCGCTCCTCACCGTGAGACCGCTCCCCAGCTTGCTGCAGGCGAAGGCGATGTCCGGCCTCGTCGTCGTCGCCGCGAACTGCAGCGAGCCGACCTTCTGCCGGTACTCCTCCTCCTGCCGCTCCTGTGCCTCCTCGTCATCGAACGTGAGCTCAGCGTAGGCATCGACCGAGACCGGCGTCTTCGGGGTGCGCCTGGTCTGCTCCTCGTTGATGAAGCGCCTACGTAGCTTGTCGGCGTAGCCCTGCTGGTGCAGCCACAGCTTCCCCGCCGACCTATCGCGAACGATCTCCAGCCCGAGGTACTTCTGCACCGGCGAGATCTCACGCAGCTTGAAGGCGGCTTCCAGCAGCTCCTTCAGCTCCTTCAACATCGCGGCGCTACTGCTGGTGGCAAGTAGGTCGTCGACGTAGACCAGCACCCAGCAGGCCACTCTGTCCTTTCCGACCTTGAAGTAGAGAGCCTCGTCGACCTGACTCTTCTTCCACCCGGCGCCGGCCAGCACGTCATTGAGTGCCAAGTACCACAGCAACGGCGACTGCTTTAGCCCGTACAGGCTCTTCAGCAGCTTGCACACCCGGCCGGTCCCATCGTTGAAGTAGTCCGGCTGGGACATGTACAGCACCCGATCGAGCTTGCTCTGCAGGAAGGCATTCTTCATGTCGAGCTGCATCAGGTTAAGGTCGAGGACGGCGACGATGCTCAGGAAGATCCTCAGCGTGACGTAGCTGCCCACCGGCGCGAACGTCTCGTCGTAGTCGGCGCCGTACACCTGCGTGAAGCCCTTCACAACCAGCCTCGCCTTCTCGCGCTCGACGGTGTCGTCGACGTGGTACTTCGTCGTCAACACCCACCGGTTCTTCATGACGTTCACTCCCGGCGGACGTTCGACCAACTCCCACGTGCCCATGTTGAGGAGGTTGCGAATCTCCTCCTCCATGGCGGCCTTCACCGCCGGGCCCTTCCAGCTCGCCAACGCCTCCTTTACAGTCATCGTCGAGATGTCCCAACGGTGCTCGGGGTCGGCTAGCATGTCGGGGTCGAGCTCTGGAAACTCCTCATCCTCCTCAGCATCGTTGTACAGCAGGTCGTTGGCCTCATCGTCCACGTCGTACACCGTGGTGAAGGCAGCGGGGACGAAGAAGTCAGGCGGCCTCCGAAGTCGGCCTGAACGCCGTGGTCCTGGCTGGACCTCCTCGGCGTCCCCTCCATCGTTGCTGTTGTTGCTGTCCTCAGCGTCTTGCTGCTCCTCAGCCGGCGTCCCAGCCGACTTCTCCCCTATGGTCGGCTCCCCTGCCGACTGCCCGGTCGCCGACTGCTCCTTGGTTGGCGTCACTGCTGCCTGCTCCTTTGTCGGCCGCTGGTCCTCGACCTGCTTCTCAACCTGCTCGTCCCCTGTCGACGCCGACTGCAATCCCACGTCGACCTGCCGCTCATCACGTCGGCCACCGGCGATGCACTTGGCCGAAGGCGGCGTCCCACTACTCCCCTCATCGCCGGAGGCCGACACCGAGGTCAGCCTACGCAGGTCGGCCACGAGGGGAGGGGCAGGGGTCGTAGGAGGAGGGGTAGGGGGGCGGACGTCCTCGACGTCCTTAACAGCAAGCTCACTGATCTCGGCAAGCAGTGGCAGCGTCGCCGACGAGGTGTCAGAGGGCGGGGTGGGCGACGAGCGGCCGAACACCGACCCGTACCCCGTCTTCCACTCGCCCAGCGACATCTCCTCGTAGAACACCACGTCCGACGTGGTGACCACTCAGTCCGTGTCGACGTCGAGGAGCTCCCAGCCCTTGCTCGCCGCCGACACGCCAAGATGCAGGCCCCACCTGGCCTTCGGCTGCAGCTTCCCACCACGCTGCTGCTCGGGGACTAAGAACTGCGCCATGCAGCCCCACACCCGCGCCAGGGACAAGTCGGGCTTCTTCCCGGTCAGCAGTTGGTATGGCGTCGTCCCCGGCGGCAGCGCCGACCTCTCAAGGCAGTTGCGGACCCAGACGGCCTGCCGGAGAGCGAGGTGCCACCAGTGGTGCTGCACGCCCATATGCAGCAGCATTGTCCGCACCGACTCCACCACCGTCCTCATCTCACGCTCCGCCATGCCGTTCTGCTGTGGGGTGTATGGGCAGGTCAGGTCGTGGACGATCCCCTTGCCGTTCACGAAGTCGGTGAACTGCTTCCCGAGGAACTCCCCTCCCCGGTCAGAGCGCAGCATCAACACCGACGACTTCGTCTGCCGCTCAGCCACCGCGTGCCACTGCACGAACACCGGCAACGTATCTGACTTCTTGGTGACCGGCTTCACCCACACGTAGCGGGTCTTGCGGTCCTTTAGCAACAAGAAGTACAGGCTGCCATCCTTGGCAGCCACACGGAACGGCCCGCACAAGTCGATGTGCACGACGGCCAGCACCTCGTCGGCGTCGGAGCCTTGGTCGGGGAAGGTGTGCCGCGCCAGCTTCCCGCCGACGCACAAGACACACGGGGAGTCGGCGCCCATCGCCGACTTGAGGTCCAGCCCAATGGCGACCTCGTTCTTTGCCGAGCTCCGTATGGTGTCCATGCCGACATGTGCAAGCCTCGCATGCATTCGGTCTGGCGTCGACTTCGTTTTCGAGACGATCGCCCGCAGGGCCACAACCTCCGTCGTGGTCGACGTTGACCTCGTTGAGCAGGGACGCAGGTCGGTGCAGAGGACACGGCCGGAGTACGTCGCCCGACCGAGCACCTCTCCCGTTGCCGAGACGAGCAGCATCCCGTCGCCGTCCTCTTGCAGCTTCACGCCGTGCTCCTTCAGCTGGCCGGACGACAGCAAGTTCGCCCGCACACCCGGGACATACAGTACGTCGGGGATGAGTACCTGCTTCCCGGCCTCCCCTTGTAGGGCGACGGTGCCACGGCCCTGGACGTCTTGCAGCGCCCCATTGAAGCCTCGCACATGCCTGATGGCGCCGCTCGGCTGCAGGTTGACGAAGGCTTCCTTCGTCCCCATCAGGTGGTGGGAGCAACCGCTGTCGAGCAGGACCACCGCCGGGTTCGTCTGCACAGCTGCCGCCACCGCCTGGAAGTCCTCTCCGGCCTCCGGCGCCAGCGAGACGGTCGGCTCCACGACGCCGACCAGCGAGCACGACGCCATCTTGTCATCCCGCGCCTTGCCGCCAGCAGGGGAGTCGGCGTCCTTCGCCGAAGTCGACATTTTGGTCGACTGCTTCTCCTTGCGCGGCCGGTTTCCTCCTCGACGAGGACGACGACTGCTCGACCTCCCGCGGCCGCCCTTGTTGTCGTCGTCGGAGTCACTGCGGTTGGGACACTCGAAGGAGAGGTGATTGGGGTTGTGGCAGTTCCAGCACTCCCGACGTCGACCTCCTCCTCTTTGACCGCCGTCCTTGGTCGACTTCTTCTCGACCTCCTTGGTCGACTTCCAGCCACCGCTCCCGCCGCCACCAGACTGTCCGCACTCTCCTGGTTGGCCTCCTTGCTTCACCGGGGCGACGAAATTGGCCTGCGCCAAGAGTTCCTGTGACCGCTCAGCCTCCTGCATCGCCTCATCCTGCAGGATGTACGAGGTCAGGTTGTCCTCGTTGAGCGTCGCCCTTGTGCTCGGCGCCATGGACAGCCGCTTCAGGAGGTTATAGCTGCTAGAAGTCCCTGCATGACATGGGTGATGTACGGCGCCGTGGAGTACTGCGCGCCGACCATCCTGATGGTGGCGAGAATTTGCCGGGCTCGGTTGCAGTAGTCAGTCGCTGTCTCCTCGTCACCCATACGCAGGTGCGTCAGCTGTCCCTCCAGCTGGGCGATGAACAGGTCGTCGGTGACCTGGTACGTCGACTCAATGAAGTGCCACGCCCGGTGGCCGGCGTCGATATACTCCCGGCACCACTTTAAGGCGATCTGCACGCCCGGCGAGCAGCACCGTGAGATGACCGTGAAGGTCAACAGCTGCACGGCGCGAAACTCCGCCCACAAGTCGGGGTGGTGCTCCCCAGGCGTTGCCACGGTCCCTCGGGCGAAGCCGATCAGCCCAGCCATCTCCAGCTGGGGCTCGATAGTTTCCTTCCAGGTGAGAATGTCGGGTCGACCGACCAGTGGGGGGGTGACTGAGATCGTGTCCGGCGTGAACTTGAAGTAGCCGTAGCTCAGCGCAATCCCACCTGCCGTCACCTGGGACGCCGTTATCGGCGACAGCCCACTACGTCGGCCTCCGACGTCACCCTGCGAAGGGCCTGCAGCCGCCGACGACTGCATCCCTCGTGCCTGAACATCGCCGACTTCACCAGCGTGTATCACACCTCTCTGCCTTAACGTGCCTCCAGCACTGCTGCCGACTTGACCACCACCGGCGTTGACTCCCACGTCGACGCCGCCTTCGTTGTTCATCGGACGAGGGGAGGCAGGTCGAGACGGGTGCTCCGTCGCCCACATGGAGCGGAGTCCAGCCTTGACGACCGCCCAGGGCAAGTCGCCATACTCGTTGGCCTCGTGCTTCCTCCTCGCGTTCTCCAACCGTGCCTCCAGGGTGTCCACAACCCCCGCGTCACCTACGGCTCCTACCATAGTGACTACCGCACAGTTGCCGGCCTGTAACCACAAAATAGTGGTATTTACGTCGACCTGACTGAAAGGTAAGTCGTGTACCCTCCACGCTCACCGCACCATGCGGAGATAACTACTACAACGGGAGCTAGACTACGGGCTAGGCACGGGTGATCATGTGATATCTGCGTTCGTTGGCTCTTAGTCGGTTTCCTAGTGCTCACATTGCTTGCTAGTTCACGGAGCAATTTTTGGCAAGAGTTTCACTAGAGAAAGTTGACAACAATGGTACAATCAAGTTGGCATGGCAAGACTACATCAGAGCTAGCACTCAGGTCGGTCGACTGGCAGCACAGCATGGTCGACCGCGTTCCAGCACGACTTGGTCAACTGCACTCCAGCAGTGCAAAGTCGACAGCGTGCCAACGCTGCAGGCTGACGGCGTGCCAGTGTTGCTCCCGTAGAACAGCAGCGCACCTACATTGCAGGTGCTGGTTGATGATTGGAGGGCTAAGCCTTGTCACCTGAACAGCGCACGCACCAAGTCATCTTCGTGCTGACGGCTCCATCTGATCCGCCACGTCGACCTCGGTCTCGCCAACTTCACCTGGGCGACCGTCGCACTCCTCCGCAGCACTTCGTCACCCAGGTAACCTGGTCGACCGGGTAACCTCATCGACCAGCAATTCCCGTACGTGCCCGTCGACCTCCCAAGTCGACGACCACCTCCTTGTCGACCTCACTAGGACGACTACGCCCCTCGGTCGACGACCACGTTACTCGACGCCCATCTGCTCGGCGTCCTGAGCCGAGGTCGACGTCGGCCCCTCCTTCGTCGACCACCAGGTCCAATCGACCACCCGCAGGTCGACCAGCAGTCCATCAGCCGACCACCGAAGTCGGCTTCCCCAAGTTGACGTCCTCCGCATGTCGACTCCTAAGTCGACCTCCCCGAAGTTGGTGCCACCCTGAAGTCAGCGCCCGTGCAGTGGTCCCCATGCAGGTCGATCTCCTCGTCAACAAGCTCGCCCACTACTGCGGGTCGGCTCCGTCCAAGCGTGGACGGGGCCAGCACACAACTCCCGTTGACAGCAAGCTCTTTGACTAGGCAGGCTCTTTGACCAGGCAAGCTCTTGGACTAGGCAAGGTCCTAGACAATGCAAGCTCTTGGACCAGGCAAGGTCCTAGACCAGGCAAGCTCTTGGACCAGGAAAGCTCTTGGACCAGGCAAGCTCCTGGACAAGGCAAGCTCCTAGATTAGGCACACGTCTGGACCAGGCACGCTCCTGGACAAGGCAAGGTCCTAGACCAGGCAAGCTCATGGACCAGGCAAGCTCTTGGACCACGCAAGCTCCTGAACAGGCAAGCTCCCGGACCACGCAAGCTCCTCGAACAGTCAAGCTCCTCGACGAGGCAAGCTCTTGGACCAGGCACGCTCCTGGACCAGGCAAGCTCATAGACCAGGCAAGCTCATGGACCAAGCAAGCTCCTGGACCAGGCAAGCTCGTGAACCAGGCACGCTCCTAGACGAGGAAAGCTCCTGGACCAAGCTTGCTCCTAGACTAGTCAAGCTTCTCGACCAGGCAAGCTCTTGGACTAGGCAAGCTCCTGGACCAAGCAAGCTCTTGGAGGAGGCAAACTCTTGGACCAGGAAAGCTCTTGGACCAGGCAAGGTTCTACACCAGGCAAGCTCCTTGACTAGGCATGCTCGTGGACATGGCAAGCTCCTGGACCAGGCAAGCTCTTAGACTAGGCATGCTCCTGGACCAGGCAAGCTCCTGGACCAGACAAGCTCCTGGACCAGGCCAGCTCCTGTACTTGGCAAGCTCTAGGACCAGGCAAGCTTCTGGACAAGGAAAGCACCTGGACCAAGCAAGCTCCTGGACGAGGCAGGCTCGTGGACCAGGCAAGCTCATGGACCAGGCAAGCTCATGGACAGGGCAAGCTCCTGGACCAGGCAAACTCTTGGACAAGGAAAGCTCCTGGGCCGGGCAAGCTCCTGGACTAGGCAAGCTCCTAGACTAGGCATGCTCTAGGACCAGACAAGCTCTTGGACCAGGCAAGCTCCAGGACCAAGCAATCTCCTTGACCAGGCAACCTCTTCGACCTGGCAAGCTCTTGGACCAGGCAATCTCTTGGACCAAGAAAGCTCCTGAACCATGCAAGCTCTTGGACCATGCAAGCTGTTGGACCAGGCAAGCTCCTGGACCAGGCAAGCTCCTGGACCAAGCAAGCTCCTTCACCAAGCATGCTCTTGGACCAAGCAAGCTCCTTCGCCAGGCAAGCTCTTGGACCAGGCATGCTCCTGGACCAGGCAAGCTCATGGATCAGGCAATCTCCTGGAATAGGCAATCTCCTGGAACAGGCAAGCTCTTGGACCAGGAAAGCTCCTGGACCACGCAAGCTCCTGGACCAAGCAAGCTCCAGGACGTGGCAAGCTCTAGGACCAGGCACGCTCATAAAACAGGCAAGCTCCTTGACCTGGCAAGATGTAGGACTAGGCACGCTCCTGGAAGAGGCAAGCTCCTGGACGAGGCACGCTCCTGGACCAGGAGAGCTCCTGGACCTGGCAAGCTCATGGACCAGGCTAGCTCCCGGACCAGGCAAGCTCTTGGACCAGGCAAGCTCCTGGACCCGACAAGCTCGAGGACCACGCAAGCTCCTGGCCCAAGCAAGCTCCTGGACCAGGCAAGCTCGTGGACCAGGCAAGCTCGTGGACCAGGCAAGCTCCAAGACCAGGCAAGCTTGTGGAGTATGCACGCTTCTTGACCAGGCAAGCCCTAGACCAGGCTTGCTCCTCCAGCAGGCAAGATTCCGGACGAGGCAAGCTCCTGGACTAGGCAAGCTCTTGGTCGAGGCAAGGTCCTGGACGAGGGAAACACTTGGACCAGGAAAGTTCTTAGACCAGGCAAGCTCCTGGACAAGGCAAGCTCCAGGACTAGGCAAGCTCCTGGACCAGGCAAGCTCCTGGACCACGCAAGCTCCTGGACGAGGCAATCTCTTGGACCAGGCAATCTCTTAGACTAGGCAAGCTCCTGGATCAAGCAAGCTGTTGGACCAGGCAAGCTATTGGACCAGGCAAGCTTCTAGACCAGGCAAGCTCCTATACAAGGCAAGCTCCTGGACCAGGCAAGCTCCTTCACCAGGCAAGCTTCTGGACCAGGCAAGCTGCTGGACCAAGCAAGCTCCTGGACCAGGCATGCTCCTAGACGAGGCAAGCTCCTTGACCAGGCAAGCTCCTCGACAAAGCAAGCTTCTGGACCAGGCAAGCTCTTGGACTAGGCACGCTCCTGGATTAGGCAAGCTCTTGGACCAGGCAAGCTCCTGGACCAGGCAAGCTCCTAGGCAAGGCAAGCTCTTGGACCAGGAAATCTCTTGGACCATGCAAGCTCCTGGACCAAGAAAGATCCTGGACCAAGCAAGCTCCTGGACTTGGCAAGCTCTAGGACCAGGCACGCTCCTGGAAAAGGCAAGCTCCTGGACCAGGCAAGCTCCTGGACTAGGCAAGCTACTGGACCAAGCAAGCTCCTGGACCAGGCAAGCTCCTACACGAGGCAATCTCTTGGACCAGGCAATCTCTTAGACTAGGCAAGCTCCTGGATCAAGCAAGCTGTGGGACCAGGCAATCTATTGGACCAGGCAAGCTCCTGGACCACGCAAGCTCCTAGACAAGGCAAGCTCCTGGACCAGGCAAGCTCCTTCACCAGGCAAGCTTCTGGACCAAGCAAGCTGCTGGACCAAGCAAGCTCATGGACCACGCATGCTCCTGGACCAGGCAAGCTCCTTGACCAGGCAAGCTCCTCGACAAGGCATGCTTCTGGACTAGGCAAGATCTTGGACCAGGGACGCTCCTGGACCAGGCAAGCTCTTGGACCAGGCAAGCTCCTGGACAAGGCAAGCTCTTGGACCAGGAAATCTCTTGGACCATGCAAGCTCCTGGATCAAGCATGCTCCTGGCCCAAGCAAGGTCGTGGACCTGGCAAGCTCTAGGAGAAGGCACGCTCCTGGAATAGGCAAGCTCCTGGACCAGGCAAGCTACCACGCACGCTCCTGGACCACGCGAGCTCCTGGACCTGGCAAGCTCTTGGACCAGGCAAGCTCCTAGACCAGGCAAGCTCCTTGACTAGACAAGGTCCTGGACCAGGCAAGCTCCTTGTCCTGGCAAGCACCTGGACCAGGCAAGCTCCTAGATCAGGCAAGCTCCAGGACCAGGCAAGCTCAAGGACCAGGCAAGCTCCTAGACCAAGCATGCTCCTGGACCAGGAAAGCTCCTGGACCAGGCAAGCTCTTGGACCAGGCAAGCTCCTTGACCAGGTAAGCTCCTCGACCAATCAAGCTCCTGGACCAGGCAAGCTCCTGGACCAGGGAAGCTCGTGGACCAGGCAAGCTCCTGAACAGGTAAGCTCCTGGACCAGGAAATCTCCTGGACGAGTCAAGCTCCTGGACCAGGCAAGCTCCTGGACTAGGCACGCTCCTGGACCAGGCAAGCTCCTAGACCAGGAAAGCTCATGGACCAAGCAAGCTCTTGGACAAGGCAAGCTCGTAGACCAGGCACGCTCCTGGACCAGGCAAGCTAGTGGACCAGGCTTGCTCCTCGACCAGGCAAGCTTCTGGACTAGTCAAGCTGCTGGACTAGGCAATCTCCAGGATCAGGCAAGCTCCTGGACCAGGCAAACTCTTGGATCAAGAAAGCTCATGGACCTGGCAAGCTCCTCGACCAGTCAAGCTCCAGGACTAGGCATGCTTCTGGACCAGGCAAGCTCCTGAACCAGGCAAGCTCCTGGACCAGGCAAGCTCTTGGACCAGGCAAGCTTCAAGACCAGGCAAGCTCCTAGACCAGGCAAGCTCGTGGACCAAGCAAGCTCCTGGACTAGGCAAGCTCGTGAACC